TGCACCCCACATGCATGAGTACAACCCTTCAAGCTGGTGGGGGCAGTGGTATGGTTGGGGCATGTTTTTCTGGCATGATTTGGGCCCTTTAATTTGTGTGGAACAACGTCTGAATAGCACAACATACTAAAGTATCGCTGCTGATCAAGTTCATCCTATCATGTTGATGGTGTATCCCAATGGAGATGGCTTCTTCCAACAAGACAATGCGCCATGCCACGGTGCTCGTATTGTGCAGGAGTGGTTTCAAGAACATGAGTGAGAATTTACCTTGCTTAGGTGGCCCCCACAATCACCAGATCTCAATCCAATTGAGCATTTGTGGGACGAAGTTGAAAGAGCCATCAGGCAGCTGGTTCCACAACCATCAAATCTCACAGAACTGGACAGCGCTATTCATCAGGCATGGTGTCAGATTCCTCGCATCACCTTTCAACATCTCATAGAGTAAATGCCAAGAAGAATCGCTGCAGTATTGAAGGCAAAAGGTGGCCCAACGACGTACTGATGGGGTGGTCATAATAATCTGGCCACTCAGTGTATTGTTTCAGAATATAGCATTGCTTCAGTAGCACTGTAACAAGTTAGATGTTATAGACATTTTACAGGACGAATGGTGTCGGTCGATATGTCTAGTCAATGTCTTAACAGCCGCAATACATTCTGCTATATTTGTGGCGAGTATACGCTTGTTCATCAGACACTCAATGACTGCTCCTGAAGAAAGCATATTATCTGTACTTCGGCTGTAAAATTGGTGATCAAGACAAGCAATTGGCACCTCACATTTGTTGTGCAACATGTGCTGTCTGAGAGCTTGGCTCAGAGGCAATTGAAAGACAATGCCGTTTGCTGTACTGATGATATGGCGAGAACAGAAACACCATGTGACAGATTGTTACTACTGTTTGACTAATGTGTCTGGTTTCTCTGCCAAAAACAAAAAGTCAATTAAATACCCTAATCTGCCTTCAGCAATGAGACCCGTGTCACATGACGACAATCTTCCAATTTCCGAAAATCACCAGAGGGATGGACCTTAGATGAACCAGATGAAGAAACTGCAATGCAGGGAACTGGCAGTGACATTGATTTGGATTTTGAACCGTGCTCCTCCGGCGATCGACATCTCAGAACACAGTCAGAATTAAACGATCTGGTCAAAGATTTGGGTCTGTCAAAAGCAAAAGCCATATTGCTGGATTTGAGACTGCAGGAATGGTGTTTGCTGTCGCCAGGTACGTAAATTTGTTTTTCGAAGCCGCCAAGATGATATAACCAAATTCTTTGCACAAGTTGACAGTCTCTGTTTCTGTGTTGACATCGAAGGATTGTTCTCTGCTTTGGGTTGTGGCCATGACCCGCAAGAGTGGTTTCTCTTTATTGATTCATCAATGTTAAGCCTCAAAGCTGTTCTGTTACACAATTGCAATGTTCACCCTACAATACCTGTTGGCTATGCAGCACACATGAAAGAAACCTAGGAGAACATGCAAATGTTTCTGAAGCACATCCAGTACAGCAAGTACAACTGGAATATCTGTGGAGATATGAAAGGTTTCACCAGGACATTTCTACAATGGAAAAACGATAATCGGGGCAACTGGAATGCTTGCTGACTACTGTTGGACACTGCAACATGATGCACCGGACATTGAATACAAATGAAAATCAGGAGCAAAACACCTTTAATTATGTTGAACTTAATAGCGTATTAGAGAAATAAGCATGCGTTATTGCCGGTAAACAGTTAACTGTCTATTTCTCAGAGATCCTATGTGATGCAGTAAAACCAAAACTATATTTGTGCATTACCACCAGGTACCTGTCACAATCAACCAAACATTTTCTGGAAGCAAAACTTTTCACAAATATTGTTGTGCAGTGTAATGTGAAAAATCTGATATTTTTTCTAAAATTCCCCTCCTGATTGGGCAATCAAAGTGAACACTGCTTCACCTTATTTAATACATTAGGTGACCATACACTTTGCTAAATCAACCCCAATGTGTCTTCAACCGAGATTTGTGTTTATGGCATCAGCACAGCCTTTGGCCCCATTCACATTTGCAAATGGGGCTGATCGCACGTGCCTTGCGAATTCCTCCTGTTAATCATGTGGTCAGCTGCAGATGAGAAGGGCGGTACAATTTAATGAGTTGTCACCACCCACAGCAATTCACTTAATCACATATGCTGTGATTAGCTATGATGATCACACCTGGAGGAAGCTGATCACCGAAGTCTCAGGGAGGAATTTGTGAGGCTTGTGGGATTGGCCCCATTTTCAAATGTGAATGCGGTCTAACAGATACAAGCAGATATTTGTATCACTTTCAGAATTTGGATAGGGCTTCTCTCCTAGGTGATTCCTCCAGTGTACAATGTAATGTGTTTTTTTTATTAAAGTGATATTAAAGTCAAAAGCATTTTAAGCCATTTCAAATGTTTATTAAAATTACTTGATGTTTAAAAGTCTTAGTTTTCTACAGAATCAGCTGTTCCCCTGAGCACTGGTCCTGACATCCTGATTTAGAGTAACTCCTTAGAGTGCTATGCAGTCACCCTTGTGTGTGCTAGTAAGCCGTTTGTATTTCCAAAAACAAACAGACAAAGCAAATGAAGCTTCACCCCTCCCCCTGACCTTCTCTCCTTCCTCTCCCAAGCTAATAGATAAACAGTTGCTGGAATCTGCACTGTTGCTGATCTTGTACTGGAAAGGAAGTTCAGGGAATCTGAGCTAAGAGACTTGGAAGCAGATGCTCAGAAACATGATGATTATAAGTGTTTGGTCAAAAATGTAAAGCAATTCTTTATGGGCAATGTATATTTGTTTGATCTGGATTTATTATTCAAAATGTTTAATACTACTTTAAGTACTTTCCACATTTAGAGCATCTAAACATCTTGCATTTAATTGTGGATCTTCTGGTGACCAGTAAGATTTCCCTTTTGGGCGAAGCCCTTGTAACAAACTGGGCATTTAAATGGTTTCTCTCCAGTATGAGTCCTCAAGTGAACAGTAAGCTGCGTCTTCAACCTGAAACATTTGTCACATTCTGAGCACCTGTATGGTCTCTCTCCTGTGTGGATCCTCTGATGTTCATCAAGTTTTATCTTCTGTGAGAAGCACTTGTCACATTCTGAACAGCTGTATGGCTTTTCTCCTGTGTGGATTCTCTGGTGTTTCACAAGTTTTAACTTTTGTGTGAAGCACTTGTCACATTCTAAACATCTAAATAGCTTCTCTCCAGTGTGGGTTTTCTGGTGTTCAAACAGACTTCTCTTTTCTGTGAAGCTCTTGAAACATTCTGAGCATTTAAAAGGTCTCTCTCCAGTGTGAGTTCTCTGGTGAACAATGAGCTTAATTTTCTTGGTAAAACATTTGTCACATTCTGAACAGAAAAGTAGTTTCTCTCCTGTGTGGATCCTCTGATGTTCAACTAGACTTTTCTTTTCTGTGAAGTTTTTGTCACATTCTGTGCATTTGAATGGTTTCTCTCCAGTGTGAGTCCTCAAGTGATCAGAAAGCTGCGTCTTCAACCTGAAACATTTATCACATTCTGAACAACTGTATGGTCTCTCTCCTGTGTGGATCCTCTGGTGTTCCTCAAGTTTTAACTTATATGGGAAGCCCTTGTCACATTCTAAACATGTAAATAGCTTCTCTCCTGTGTGGACCCTCTGGTGTTTAATAAGATTTCTCTTTTCTCTGAAGCTCTTGTCACATTCTGAGCATTTAAAGGGTTTCTCTCCAGTGTGAGTTCTCTGGTGAGCAATGAACTGAACTTTGTTGGTGAAACATTTGTCACATTCTGAACACAAAAGTAGTTTTTCTCCTGTGTGGATCCTCTGATGTGCAACAAGATTTGTCCATCGTGTGAAGCACTTGTCACATTCTGAGCATTTAAATTGTTTCTCTCCAGTGTGAGTCCACAGGTGAGTAGTAAGACTTTTCTTTAGGGAAAAGCCCTTTCCACATTCTGGACATTTAAATGGCTTCTCTCCAGTGTGGCTCATCTGGTGTCCCATAAGATTTTCCTTAATTGTAAAACCCTTTTCACACTCAGAGCTCTTAAATGGCTTCTCTCCAGTGTGGATACTCTGATGTGCAACAAGATTTGTCCTTTGTGTGAAGCTCTTGTCACATTCTGGACATTTAAATGGCTTCTCTCCAGTGTGAACCATCTGGTGTCTCTTAAGATTTTCCTTCGATATAAAACTTTTTTCACATTTAGAGCACTTAAATGGCTTCTCTCCACTGTGACTCATCTGGTGTCTCTTAAGATTTTCCTTCGATATAAAACCTTTTTCACATTCAGAGCACTTAAATGGCTTCTCTCCAATGTGACTCAACTGGTGTTGAGTAAGATTTACCTTTGAAGTAAAAGCCTTTTCACATTCAGAGCACCTAAATGGCTTGTCTACAGTGTGACTCATCTGGTGTTGGATAAGATCTTCCTTTGACGTAAAACTCTTTTCACATTCAGAGCACTTATATGGTTTCTCTCCTGTAGGACTCCACTGGTGTTCAGTAAGATGTGTCTCATGTTTTAAGCTCTCCACATATGGTTTCTCTTCATTAGGAATCACCTGGTGAACTATTAGAAATGCATTTGTAATGAAAATTTCCTGAGACTCCAAATTCATATGTGCCATGTCTGCTCTGGGTTCCATTATTTGCTAAAGTATACAGACTTAGTAGTAGTATGATTTCAGACTGCTTACAACCAACATTGAAACATTATGGTGGATTCCTGAAAAAATAGAAATACATTATTATAGAATTTTAGAACAACAACAAATAAAGACCAACCTCAGAATGTAATACATTCTGGAGTTTTACATCAGAATTGTATGTCTTCAGTCAGTTTGCAGATTAAATGATTAGACAGAAAATATAAACACCAATAACTGAAAACAGGTTTGTCTTTTCCGAGTGGAGAATCGTTGTACTCCACTGAATGAAGTATCTTTTACTCCAAACCCCCAAACAGGAACATTGGCATTCTTTAACCATTTCCCTTTCAGGAGTCCAATGGCAATAGTAAAAGCCCCCGGGTAATTGGGGAGGTATCTGTACACACTACTTCACTGTATGGAAGCCCTAATTACACAAGTATTACCTATTAACATACGGGTAATACGGGGTACATCCATGACATTGGATTTACAAAGCATTAGAGGTTGTCAAAAGATAGTTTAAAGCAGAAGGTTTTCCATTTCCACTATGTCATCTCTGATTAAAATGTCATATTGAGTCAAATGAAGAGGAAAAATTCACTGTTCTGGGTCCCTCCTATGTGTAAATGTAAGCTTTGGAGCAAAACAGAGCCTTGAAAACTTGTATAAAAGCCAAACGTTTCAGGTGCTGGGTGTATATGAAAATGGATATTATTTCAAATTCATAGTTCCTCCTCCAATGTCTACAGCACTACTTTTTCCTGAAGAAACATAGTGGCTAATTGGGAAAACTATGGCACCCAGCGGGGCACATGCTATCTGGCATACACCACAATATGTGATAAAAAAGTCTAACTCTGCAAGAGATTGAAGATTCCTTTATGCTGTCTGCCATTGAGGTTAGTATTCAGTGTCTTCTTTTACAGGGTACAATTTTCAGACAAACCAGATGGTTACTTTAAAAGAGAACTATGGTCCAACCTTTTTTGGCTATAGTTCTTTTTAGGGTCAGAGGAGGTAATTTACTATAAGAAAAAATCATGGATTGCCCCAACATAGGTTCCCTGTATATTCTCTCCCCCTCAAATACATTGAATATGGAAAAATAGGGGGGATATTTTTTTTTATATAATCGGATCATGTAAGTTTGAACAATAAGGACTATCGGGACTATCATGCCAGTTATGTATTTGGATTCTGTATATTTAAGGTAATTTACTATGTCCTCTGCTGACCCAAAATCAGAGAGGCAGAGCCAGCTGTGCCAGCCCTTCTGCCCCTCCAGTCAGTGCTGGAGGAACGGAGAGGGGAGGAATCCCTGTGGGGAGCGGTGACTGACAGTCTCTGCAGGGAGAAGATCAGGAACTTAGTGATCAGCGGTATGCAATCGCTCAGTTCTGGATTGATAGAGCTGAGGTGTCACACATCGGCTTTATTTATGGGTATGAGTGTATTTCCATCTCCTTGGCCAACAAGGAAGCTAATGAAAGGGTAGTGCAGGAAAATGGTTTGCTGTACTGAATAGTTAAGACTGTTGCAGAGGGGCACCTTGAGACTAGGGATACACCTATGCTGATGCTAGTATCTGTGCCGACACCACGTATTTGGCCAAGTACTTGTACTCGCCCAAATGTTCCAATACTTATACCAATATCAGAACTTCCGGTCAGAGACTATTTTCTCCTATCTGCCATGTTGGCTACCCATCATGTTGAGACCTGACCTATGCAATAGGCCCCTTATTGATTTCCCAAATCTGTCCAAAATATCATGAGATTAGAGCTGGATGAAATGCTAAAATTGGGAGACATCCATCTACCCAGCAATTCATGGGCCTCACCTGTTGTATTGGTCCCAACAAAAGATGGCAGTGTATGATTTTTCATAGACTCTAAACACCTCCAAGTGGACCTTTAACCCCTTTGGCTAAACATCACCTTAGGTTGCAGCTCTGTGTACAGATCTCAAATCATCTTACATTCATTAAACAAACATATTTTCATTTTACTTTCAATTTTTGATGTTCTACTTCACGGTTCTCTTTGGAAAAAGTGATGTAATGTGCCAAAGCGTTGTATCCTGGGAAGGTTACAGCAGCAGAGCATTGCTGGGAAATCTCATCTGTAATTTCCCAAGATCTCATGGAAAGGCATTTTCCTCCCGAGATGATAGGCTTGGTCACATGACCTAATCACTTGTGCCAGAGTTTCAGGTAGTTAAGGGAGATGGATTAGTTTACCCTTAGTGCAATTGGCCACTGTGAGAAGAATGGAGAGGAAAAGAAAAACAATGTATGCAAAGAATAAAAAGCCAGCAATTATCTAGAAGTTTGTGTTTGTAGATTGTCAATCTAACATAAATAGTATGTAAACTGTTTGAGGGAATGATAAAGGACTATTTAGTGGATTATGTTCATGACAATGGTATAATAAATGATAATCAGCACAGATTTAGGAAGGACAGTTCTTGTCAGACCAACCTACTAACATTCTATGAAGAGGTGAGTAGAGATCTAGACGGAGGGTGGCCGGTGGATGTGGTATATCTGGATTTTGCCTAAGCTTTTGACACCGTACCACATAAATGCTTAATACAAAAGCTGAGATCTATGGGCATAGATGAAATGATGTGTACATGGATAGAGAACTGGCTACAGAAACGTGTCCAGAGAGTATTGATAAATAACTCTTTTTCACATTGGTCTAAGGTCGGGAGTGGCGTGCCCCAGGGTTCTAACCTGTTTATTAATGATATTGGGTAAGGTGTTAGTAGCCATGTTTCCATGTTTGCAGATGATACTAAAATCGGGAGGGTAATAGACACAGACTTAGGCATTATAATATTACAGGAGGACCTGAATGAAATAGGGGAGTGGGCAACTATGTGGCAGATGTTTAATGTCGAAAAATGTAAAGTAATGCATTTTGGGGTTAACAACAGACAAGCAGATTAAACATTAATGAGTACTCCACTAAGGAAGTCAGAAATTGAAAATTATCTGGGGGTCATAGTTGACCACAGACTAAATAACAGCACGCAATGCCGGGCTGCAGCAAACAAAGCAGGCATAGTATTGTCTTGTATCAAAAAGGCAATATACTGTAGAGACAAAGCAATCATTTTGCCACTTTATAGATCACTGGTTCGGCCTCATCTGGAGTATGCGGTCCAGTTTTGGTCACCGATCCACAGAAAGGATGTCCTTGAGTTGGAGAGAGTCCAAAGAAGGGCAGTTTAACTAATTCAGGGGCTGGAGAACCAAAGCTATGAGACAAGGATGCTAAATTTAAATTTGTTCACACTGGAAGTGAGGCGATTAAGAGGAGACATGATTTTGATGTAAAAATGTTTGGTGGTGATGGCAACATTAGCAATAAAAAAAATTAAACTCCCTAACAAGGACTAGAGGCCACCACCTAAAATTGATGTAGAAAAGATGTATCCACAAAGGGCGTAGGGGATTCTTCTCAGTTAGAGCGGTTACATTTTGGAACTCTCTGCCACAAGCAGTAGTATCAGCAGAGGGTATTGATTCATTCAAAAATTAATTAGATACCTTCCTAAGAGACCGCAACAGGGGTACAGGTACTCTTAAATACTAGACCACACAGGAACTCATATACACACGCACAACTCACACACAAAGGTTGAACTTAATGGACCTGTGTCTTTATTTAACCTCAAATACTATGTAACTATGCGATTACTAATCATTTCCAAAGGTGCCTTTGTTGTTATTTTGAAAATACGGGTAAAGTTCCTCTTTAGAGATCACAATGTTGGCAATGAATATCCAATGCCCCGTATTGATCAGCTGATTGACCGTCTGGTTCAGGCCTGATGTATCACCACTTTGGAGATAAGCAAATGTTATTGGGAAATTCCCTTAATAGGGAAGGGTAGGGAATGCTCAGCCTTTATTACCTCTTTTGGATTATAGGAGTTCCTCAGTATGCCCTTTGCAATGAAGAATAATCCTGCCACCTCCCAGTGAACTGTTGACCAGCTGCTGTGCCACTGCCAAGACTTTGCCTGCACATATCTTGATGACACTGACCTCTTTAGTGAGACTTGGGAGGAACATCTCCATCATGTAAGCATAGTCTTGAATGGAATTGTGGGTGGCAGACTCAAAATCTGACTGGAAAAGTGCCAGATAGGAATGGCAGAGGTACAATACTTGGGGCAACGATCGGGAGGGGATAGGCTGTGCCCAGAACCTGCTAAAGTAGAAGCTATTATGGACCGGCCTACTACCCAGACTAAGAAACAAGTCCTGACTTTCCTGGACACTGATATTGAAAATTTGTTCCTCATTCTAGCACAACAGCCAAACCGCTCAGCATGAAGATCATGCCCCAGCTGGTGATATGGACCCCGAACAGCCAGGTAACCTCTGAACAGATGACTTCACCCGTGACCTCATGATGGCAGCACTGAACTACAAAACACAGATTCTTTGTGCAGAATGATGCCCCTACATAGGGTCTGGAGGCACTTCTTAGCCGAGTAGAGAGCCGGTTATTGTAATTTAAAATATCCAATAGCAGGCTGGCTACTGTTCCCAGCAAAAAAGTAGAAAAAACTAAAGTTTAAAAAAATTAAGTTAAATAAACTAAAATTAAAAATAGATAAAACATTTTTTTGGTGTGTTA